GGTGGCACCACTTAGCCGCCGCCTCCTTACACTGCTCCCCGCTTCCTCTATTCCCGCCCCTTCTCTGGCCGACCCCCTCGCGCGGCGGCGGAATAGGTGGGGAGGACGGCCGGCGGAAGGGGGACGGAAGGGTGCCCGGGGACCGGCCGAAGGGAGCAGCCTGGAGGAGTGACGGGGATTGATGAGCCTCGGACAGCTCTGGAGGGACGCGGGGGAAAGGGTTGCTCCTTGGCAAGAGGGCTGGGTGAGTGCGGACCTCCGAGCTACACCCCCTGCGATAAAACCCCCTTCCAGGGTAACCACACTCTTGACCCCTCCGCCACAACTGGCTTACGTGTGGCTGTGGAAGACGCTAGTGCCACTGAGGAAGGGAGGAAGGCGGTCGTGGACTTTGCTGACTTAGGGTGTTGGGAAAGGGGCTTGGAGAGCCACAGGAAATAGGGGAGGATCGAGGGGGGTGGGTTTGCAAAGGAAAGTCGTGCAACCTCTATGCGGCTCTAACCCAACCTCCCCACCTGCCGGAGAAGTAAATTTCATCTTGGAAGCCGGGAAGAGGAAGGAGAGATGGCCCAAAGGAGTCCTGGCCCGGGATACGATCCGCGCCCCGGGGTCTCCTGCAACATCGCAAACCGGAACAACACAGACTCCCCTCTTCCCCGACAGAATAGTGCCTACGAGACTTCGCCGCTTCCTGACTCAAGGAAAGAAAGAACACGGAAGGGGTTCCTGGACGGTCTCCTGGGGAATCCAAATTAGGTTTGCTGACCACGAACCTGTAAGACCTCTGGGGAGGGATAGAACCCGTGGCTGGAAATGGTTTTAGCACCCTGCCTGAGCAGGTGTGCCCGTCACTTGCATAGCCGCCCTGCTCCTAGAGCATTTTCACAAGTGCTGGCAAAGCAGGTACCACTGTTTTAGGGAAGAAGGAAGAACCACTCGGAGCTGTGTGTAAACGTCTGAGAATATTTTTTTAAGGTTTCAAAAAGCTGGGAAGAGAAATGAGATCGGGAAAGTTTTTCCAGCACCACCCTGTGCAACCCGGTACGGGGCACAGAAATCTACATGTTTTACTAAGCTACCCGGGTGATAATCTAAGTAGGCTTGAGTTTAAGAGCGTCTGGCATAGGATTCCCCTAGATAACCACCTCTCAATTTTGTCAAAAACTGGCTAGCTAGTTGATAACCTACAGTCAAGCTTTGGCCAGGCAAGAAGTCACTATTTCCTGCAATAAGCCACACTTTGGATAGGCCTGATCTGCAGTAGAATTGAGGCTACATTGAGGTCACAGTATGAGCCACGGTACTCACAAAAATGTGAGGTACTCACAGAAGCTATGACCTTAGCTAACAATGACTTCAGCACTCTGGATGAAATAATCCTCTCTCCCTCCAAGAGCCTTCCGCCCACCCAAAACATAGACCAATCTGGTAGGCTGCAAAAGTAAGGTCTTTCAGCGGTAGATTTTCCTGTAAACAGGAAGGCCCTGACAAGCTTTACCTAAGCCTATTCCAGCTATGTTGTAATTCCATATATAAATAGAACAGTTGCTGCAGGAATACTGGATAAGTCAGAGGAAAGGTCTGTCTTAAGCTGATGTGACACATTTCAGAAAAGGAGTAGAAATTAGATTCCACTGATGACAGAGTTGATCCCTAAATGAGATTTATCTTTGAAGTAAATATCAGCAGAGATATTCCATGTGCCCCTGCCCACACACAAACAGAGCCTCCCCCATCATCAGCATCCTCAACCAGAATGGTGCATTTGCTAGTTGATGAACCCACAGTGACACATTATTTGTCACCCGTTGTTTACATTAGGGTTCACTTTGGTGTTCTACATTCTATAGGGTTGAATAAATGTATAATGTAATGTATCCTCCATCATAGTGTCATAAAGAGTAGTTTAGCTGCCCTTAAAATCCTCTGTGCACCCAAGATCTATTTATTCCTTCCTCCCCCCAACCTCTGGCAACTACTGCTGTTTTAATTATTCCAGAATGTCATATGTATTATATGACATACATATATAGTATGTACTATTGCTGTGAACCTGAAAGTGGTCTTAAAAAGTCTTCAAAAGAAAAATCAATGGAAGGGGGAAAGTTCGGATAACTCATTGGTAATTTGGAGAGGGGGAAAACTAGTTGAATTCTCATTTCATTTCATATGTCCTAAAATAAGTTCTAAGGGGATTAATAAGATAAATTTATTTTTAAAAGCAAACCAGAAGAAATAGAATACACATTTGTTAAGGCTCTGGATATAAGTATTTTTCAACTTAAAAGCAATAAAATAAAATAATCAGTCCAGATGCAGTGGCTTACACCTGTAATCCTCTGTGAGGCTGAGGTGAGTGATATTGCCTGAGCTCACAGGTTCAAGATCAGCCTGAGTCTGAGTGAGACTCTGCCTTTAAAAATAGCCAGGCCTTGTGGCAGGCACCTGGAGTTCCACTTACTCAGGAGGCTCAGGCAAGAGAATCGTTTGAGCCTAAGAGTTTGAGGTTGCTGTGAGCTATGATGCCATGGCACTCTACCAAAGGTGACAAAGACTCTGTCTCAAAATAAAATAATCAATGGATATGACTGGGTAATACGTGAAAGCTCCTATATATGTCAAACTTTTAAAATGTAAACTAGAAAAAATTATTGGCAGCAAACAATGAAAAATAAAAGTCTGAATATCTTATAAGTAAGGTTTACATAACTAAAGTAAAATATAAGGTCTCAGTGATTGAGTATAAACAAACCACATAAGAAGAAATCAAAATAGTAACAAATCTATGGGGAAATTAACCTTTCTGTAATCAAAGAAATATACAATGAAACAATAGGCCAGACAAGGTGGCTCACACCTTACTCCCAGCACTTGGGAGGCCAAGATGGGAGGATCACTTGAGGCCAGGTGCTCATGACCAGCCTGAACAACATAGTGAGACCTTGTCTTTACAAAAAATATACAGAAAAGTTAGCCCTATGTGGTGACACGCACCTGTAGGCCCAGCTACTTCAGAGTTGAGGCAAGAAGACTTAGATCTGAGCGCAGGTGTTTGAGGTCGCAGTGAGCTATGATGACACCACTGTACTTTAACCTGGGTGACAGAGTGAAACTGACTTACAAATGACTGGGCAGCACACATTGCTAGTATCCTTATGAAACAATACTTTAGAAAGCATTTTGGCTGTCTGTAGCAAGTCAGAGGGCTCATACATTTTGACTCAGCAATTCCACTTCTGGGACTCTACTCAGAAAAACACTCCAAAATATGGAAAGCATTATATACTGTGAGTTACATATCATAGTGTTATTTATATTACAGATTAAAGATCGAAGAGTGGAGGCAACTCCCTGCAGTCACCTGGGCCATATCCTTCCCATTTCTGAGCCTTTACCCATGTCTTTTCTGGTCTCCGACTGTCCTCTTGTCCCTTGTGTATGAGCTGACTCCTCTTATTTTCCTTCCCCACTTTTGTTCAGTGTCTTGGAGGCTCCCTTCCCTGTTCCCTCAACACCTGCTATGTTCTTCCATCCTGGCACTTAGAGACTACCTGTAATACCTGTCACCTGCCTAGCTCTACTCTGCTTTGACTCCTTCTAGGCTGTGGCTCGCTCTTTTTAATCTGAAAATCACCAGTGCCCTGTAGATGTGGCAGATGCTTGATAAATATTTATTAATGGAATGAGTCATTTGCTCAAAATTTATAGCTATTAAGGATGTTGAGTATGAAAAGTACTCATGTGTAAATACATGCAATGTGTAAATACATTATAATGTTAAAATATAAAGGTAATATATGTGGAATTATCTCCTAGTAATATTGTTAAATAAAAAAGCAAAGTGCAAAATATGTATTATACACTATAAGCTACCATTTTGTAAAAATATCAGGTGTATTGGTGTAAGAATATATATATATATATACGTATTTTCTTGTTAATAGATCGGCAATCTATGGAAGAAAATAAAAGAAACTGGCAACAGTGTGTTAGGGTACAATGGGGGCAAAATAAAGAACCAAAAGATATTAGTGGGAGGACCTGCTTTATTTTTACATAATCCCTTTGGTTTGTTTTTGGAATGTGTACTATGTATATGATATACCTGTTTTGAAGAGTAAAGCAATCTATAAAATTGTATGCAATTATGTGGGAAAAAAAAAATTGACTTAATGTTTGCCAAGTAATAACAGTTGTGAGGTTGTGGGTGATTATGTTTTTATGTTTCTGGTTTCCAATTTTTTTAATGTGGTTATATTGCTTTTATAATTAAAAAGATTACACTATAAATAAAGACATAAGCAAGTAACTAAGTAATCATTACATTTATTTCACACAACTCTTTCACGACTCAGTAAATTCTGATCTCTTATAAGGAGAAAAGGAGAGTAATTTTCTGCCTCAAGCCTGCTGAAGACCATCTCCTTCATAATTCTGAGGTTGAAAATGGTTAATAAGTTTAATCACTGAAAGTTAATCAGCCCTTCAAGTGGCAGTGAAAACAGGTAGAATGTTTTCTTCTAGTAAGTTGCCTAGCTGAACAGCAAGCTATGACAACAGTATTTTCCCCCAAAACACCACATTTGGTGAGCTTGTCTGTCTCTGTCTCGGTTTTACCCTTCCCACCCACATTCATGCCTCCCCCCGTCTCTCTCACAGTCTTTCTGCTCCTCTACACCTGTGTTTTTCTTTATCTTCTCTGTAGCCAGCCCTTATTGCCTGCCCTCCCCCTGCTGCCACCTTCCTCTCT